CTCAAGATGGTGGAGATGCCAGAATAGAGGTTTCTCCTCGTGATATTGGTTATACACAATCTGCCGAACCAGTAGAAGGTGAACAGCCAGAGATACTGCATAAACTTGATCTTCGTTATGGGTATCTTTTTCCTTCCTCTTATCCTGGTTATTATTTTAGATAGCCGCTTGTAAAGGTGAAACCAGCCTTTTACTATGATATTGCTTAACTTTAACAGAACGTTATTTTATTTGTATCTCAATCACGTATTCGGTTAAACATGTTCCCTGGAGATACAACACCCTGAAGATGTCTGCAAAAACTGATAGTATATTAAAGATGGAAACTGGTCTACCTTCGGGAATTCAAATCATACATGGTCTTGCCTATGCTTATCCAATTCTCTTATCACATAATTTTGTTGAAGTCCCTAAAATATTTCTTTTTCAATTTCTGCTTCAATTACTCTTACATCTTTTCGTACCAAAAATATTAATTTTTCTTATAAATTTGTGGTTCTTTTGGTGTTCTACGTATCTATTTTCTTTATTTAGAGGTTGCCTGCTATCTTAAAATGTTATATAGAGTAGTTTCAGTTTTGGGTTCTCTTTTATAAATCTTCTAAATCAAATGGACAACCTGGAAACTTTGTTTTTATACGTTCATCCTGTTTATTGCTGCAGAGGAATATATTGGTGTGATGATTCACTGGCTCTAGTTTATGAATCTTGGTACAAGACGCGCAGAGTACGAACCTGGGTAATCTCTCCTGGATCTAAAGAGTACAATCCTCGCATTCTATTTGATAGGTCATCAGAAGATGTGTATTCAGACCCTGGGTCACCAATGCTGCGGAGGACTCCTCTTGGGACATACGTAATTGCAAAGTTAAAGAAGGAAAATTATGAAGGCACATATGTTTTACTAAATGGTAGTGGTGCTACTCCTGAAGGGAACATCCCTTTTATTGATTTATTTGACATGTAAGTGGTTTAGTTTAATCATTTCTTGTTTTAGTCTCTCTTGTTGGTGCTATTAATGCCACAACTTCTGAAAATATTCCTTCAGAAACACAGGCAGCAAAGAAAGAATATGGAAGAGCGACAAAGAAACATATTATGAGTGCGTTGTGGCTTTAATGTCTGACAAGAAGGAAGGAGATTTAAATCTTGATGAGCTGAAATTTTTTATTTCGAAAGAATCCAAAACTGAAAATACCCAGTACTACATTCTGAGGTGGCCTGATAAGAAAGCAAGTCAAATTACAAAATTCCCCCATCCATATCCACAGCTGAAATCACTGCAGAAAGAGATGATCAGATACGAGAGAAAAGATGGAGTTCAATTGACAGCTACACTTTATCTGCCACCAAACTATGATCCAGCAAAAGATGGCCCTCTTCCCTGCTTGATCTGGTCTTACCCTGGGGAGTTCAAAAGCAAAGATGCAGCTGGACAAGTTCGTGGTTCCCCTAATGAGTTTGCCAGTATAGGTTCAACATCTGCTCTTCTTTGGTTGGCTCGCAGGTAGAAGTGTTTCTTCAAGATTCTTGACTTTACATTATTTTTGGATCATAGTCTATTTGTTCTGAACATAGTTCTCCCAATCTTTCAGGTTTGCTATTTTGGCTGGACCAACAATACCTATCATAGGTGAAGGTAACGAGGAGGCCAATGATAGGTAATTGGTAGCATATTTACTAAAATCATGGTTCTTTTTCCCTGTTCGACCCCAATTATGTAGTTTGTTCCAGAAAGCTTACATTGCTTTTGTCCATATTTTTTGACATTGATACAAAAACTAAAGCATTTGTCAGCACTCATCTGGAAAGTAGGCTGCAATGAGTGATTCTTGGATATTTGGTTGTGTGCTTAGGTGCATTAAAGTTGTGTCTAACCATAGTAAGGGTAACACTAGAGCTAGGTCTTACATAGCTAATAAAGATTCTATAAATGAAAAATGATTAATCGAACTCCTCCTGTTCTACATGGGGGTTTGGTATATGTGCAGATCGTTAACCACAAACTACTACACTGTTGCATAAGTAGTTTTATATATCCTCAATATCTGTTCTACACACATGCAGTTCTGAGTATCTCACAATGAAAATAGTTACATGCAGTTATCGCAAGATTTGAGATATGAAAAGATTGATGTAATATAGATCGTTCTCAAAACTGAGGACCTGTGGTTATATACTAATGGAACTTCGAGCAGCACTCTTTGCGACTATTTTCCCCCATTCCAATTTATTTTATATCTTTAAAGTATCTTGCTGTGCACGATTTAGTATTTAGGCCTTTCTCCTTGACCCTTCTCTTGAAACTGAACATTTATAAGGTTTTATTTATTCTTATCTGTCCGTACTCAATTCAAATATTTTCATTCGGTACCTTCTTTAAATAATTCAATTTTGTTAAAATTACTAAAACACACATATTTTACTAGATATGTAGAGCAATTGGTTGCGAGTGCAGAGGCTGCGGTATTGGAGGTCATTAGACGTGGGGTGAGTGTTGTGTTTTCTTTATAAATATTCTCTTGGTATTTAAAATAATTAACCATGTTGATATGCCACCATGACTAGGTTGCTCATCCTAACAAGATTGCAGTTGGTGGACATTCATATGGTGCGTTTATGACTGCGAACCTTCTGGCTCATGCTCCCCATCTTTTTTGCTGTGGAATTGCTCGCTCCGGTGCCTATAACAGAACACTGACCCCTTTTGGCTTTCAGGTAGTTGCATATTTAACTGCTGTCTTTCTCTAAACTGTGACCATACGAAAAGTGATATGTCTTAAATTCCAATGCTTAAAATTGTTCCAACACCACACATTTCTACTCTACCTATCATTTGTTCTGCTTATCTGCGGTCATACTTTATTGTCATAGAACGAGGATAGAACTCTTTGGGAAGCAACCAACACATACGTAGAGATGAGTCCATTTGTATCAGCAAATAAAATAAAGAAGCCAATTTTACTAATTCATGGTGAAGAAGACAACAACCCAGGAACTTTGCCCATGCAGGTATGGTCTGGAATTTTAACCGTATGGTTCTGTTTCTTTGAACCAATAAATGATGAAACGATAAACTTAGACAGAGAAAGATATTATTCTCTAGTTCCTCTCTTTGCTGAGGTTCAATCAATTAATGCCTACAGCCTCTTTTTTAACTTGCTAAGAAACCTATATCGTGGGTTTGCATGCTTTGCAGTCCGATCGATTTTTCAATGCCTTGAAAGGCCATGGAGCATTGTGTCGCCTTGTGGTTCTTCCCTTTGAAAGCCATGGTTATTCTGCACGAGAAAGTATCATGCATGTCCTCTGGGAAACTGATCGATGGCTGAACAAATACTGCTCCTCTAACCCTTCTGATTCAGGTCAAGGTGTGGATAAAAGCAAAGAGGAAGGCAATGAAGCAGGAGATTCCGAAGGGAAAGTTGTTGCTGGTTCTGGAGGTGGTGGCACAGAGAATTAAAGTCCTGATGATGATGGATTTTACTCTATTCAAAGACCATTGTTTTGGTAAGTGCTTTACTTTTAATATCTGAAATAAGTGAACAAACTATTTTAACCTAGAATTATAAAACAGGAAGGAAAGACAGGAAAAATAATTCCTCTTACACATGTCTGCATGGCTTTTGTCTCTCTTAAAAAAGAAACTCCTGAGACATTCTGCTTTTATTGTGCAGGTGTTCTTGCTGATCTTTTGCGGCCAAGATTGAAGTGGGGAGTTAATTTGTAAAATAAGAAGCATGGAGGACCCTCTAAGCACAACAACGTGCATGGGAAGATACAGATCCGTGCTTCTGAAGTTGTGTCATTCAAGGTTAAAATAAAAAGTGGCTTTTGGTAAGAATTTTACTTCATATCGAAGAGGACACATAGTTGGTAAGTCACGTTCTGGTTGCTATTTATATGATTTATGGAGGCGAAAATTTACATGTAAACAATTTGAAGAATGGCTACCTGAATCTTCAGAAGCAGTTATCTGCTTCTTTTTCCCGTAAGGTAAAGATAAAATTAGTTGCTATTTTGCGAATGTATTTCGATACAATATATAAATTAAATAAACGTCTCTTAGCTCTCAGATCTGGTAAATTCCCAAGTTGATAGTGGTTGAATAGAATATAAGACTTAGAAATGTTGCATTTGGTAAGGATCTCTGGCTCGAACCCTTGCCATTTTTATAAGAATACTGAGTTACTCATCTCATCGTCAATTGATTTTGGGATGGATTCTCAATGTTTATAAGATACGGAATTTACTCAAACTAGCACCTAAAACCTGAACAATCGGTTCCCATAAAATGAAAATCATAGGTTTTTAAGGTGTGACCAATTTTTGTTTTGTTTTTAAGATTGCCTTTGCATGAGAGGAAGAAGAGTAGAGAGGGAGAAAGGTTGTGTGAGCTGAAGGTGTAGTAGGCCTAATTTTTTAAGATTTAGATTTGAAGTGCATCCCGCACTTCTCGAACAACTTTAAGTCAGCTGTGTTCTAACTCAATGGTGAAGGCTTTTAACCGATCGAAACAACTTTTAACTAATGAACTAGTCAGCTGTGTTCTAACTCAATGGTGAAGGTTGCACTTTAACCGAAGGTTGCACTTTAACCTTGGGTCACGTGAAAATGCATTGAAAACAATTTGAAGATAACTTTGATAGTATATAACCAAGAAGGGAAGACAAACTATTCAAATTTCAATTTTTGTTCTAAGTAATCATGATTGCAATCGAGTTTCACAATTCTCAGCCAAACCACTCAAGAACGACCCACAAGAGCTGTGCTTATATCACTCATCATTTCATAATCAAGGAAGAATTCGACAAACAACTAACATTTCTCGTTCGGAATGCATGAGTAAAGTTCACATTTTCACCCAGCTGAGCTGAGCAATAATTCCATAGGGAAAAGAAATTGTACGCATTGAAATATATGGATTGATTTCACAACCAATGTTCATTTGACCAAATCAAGCACTCCAAAGGTCGAACGCTGGAAGGGATCCACAAATGTCTAGCAAATCATAACAATTACTCTATGCCCTCCATAACAATCACTGCATTGCAGAATTCCAGGATAGCCTTTTGGCTCTGATGATGCACAAAAGGCTAATAAATCATGAAATAAGGTTTATTATTAAGTCCACCAAAATCTCTCTCATATCTTATTTGTAGAAACTGATGCAAAAGATAAACAGGTCATCATCTCTAATCCAAAAAGCAAAACAAAGAGGTTTTCAAAAAGTGATAAACAAACTGATGAATGTGTTCAACAATATCATGATAGAGTGTAAGATCTATTCTTCATCGACAACGACACCGATCTCACCCTTCTCGAGTAGATCATAGAACGCTCTTACTTTCCTCTGCTCATTCCACTGATGCATTTTCCAAAAGCTACCAGCAAACAAAGCCACTCCCATTCCAATCAATATCTCCTTGACGACACTCGGTCCTTTAAGCGTGACGTGAGCTACCCTTCCAGCAGCCATTTGCTTTTCTAGTTTTAAGACAGTAAGAAAATCTGCCCAAGATATCGAAGGCGAACACTTGTTAGAACAAGGAAACTTGAACACAATATTTGCAAGGGCAAGGGCAAGTTCAAAGAGGACTTTCATCCTTTAAAAAGCAATAACATCCCTCCCTACTTAGGAAACGAAGCGAAGGAAACTAGGCTTCATTTATTGTTATGATCATCATAAATGATTAAACGAAGAAAATGAAAGAATATGCATATGGGCAATACACAACACAAAAGAAATCAGCCCAAGCCAAAGGCCAAGACAAAAGGCAAAAGCCTTACAGAAAAAGGGCTCCAATGGTTTATAAGAACAAATAACCATAAAATTTAATAGTTACAAACACCCAAAAGGAAGTGTGACCTCCCTAGAGATCAAACCTCCTCCCAAGTTATATTGATCCCCTAAAAGTCGTTCTGTTTCCATCAAGTCAAATGCACTACAAAATAGCCAAAAGGGGTCATCATCTACGAGACACCTTCTCATCTTTGAAAGTAATCTATCACAGAAACTCTTTGATTTTGGTTCTTATGGGAAATGAAGAAAAGGCAACAACGGATGTTCTTATGTATCTCTGGTAATATACTAATCTACCCTCTTTCTTGCAGCTGTGGACTAAATTTCTCATCCTCCCCTCCTCTGCTGTACTACGTTCCCCATTCCAGTAAAAGGGCTCGGATGGATTGCTGCCTTTTGGCTTATTTACACTAAAGGACACCAAATTTCCATTCAACATCTCCAAACCCATGAAATACAATCAAACTAAACACCACACCATCCATCGCAGTCTCTCAAATCTATACCCCAGGAAAATCGAAACTAGGTTTTGCCGAAAAAAGAAAAACAAAAAGCACAGAAAACCAGCCCTTGCATATACCCCAAATCAAATTCAAATCCAGAAAATCCAAAACGAAAAGAGTACAAATCCCCATTTCAACAAATAAGAGACAAAACAAAACCCATTCATTCAACGTACGTATAACCAGACCAAATTAAAGCACGAAATCACACACCAAAGATTAAAAAATAAACAAGGCAGAGACAAAAGATCGAAAATCAAAGAGAAGGATGGATCTAGAGAACTCAGAGTTCTTACCAGGGAGATCGAGAAGCAACGGGATGGCGCCAGATGATAGGAACTGTTATGGTCTTCGGAGTGCGGCCTTCGGCTTTTTATCGGTGGAAACTTGAGTCCCAATTTGCGCCTATAAGAGAGAGTAGGGTCCACTTGAACACGTCAACAACCTTTTATTTAGTATTAAAATATATGAAAAATTAGTTTTTTTTAATATATATTTTACCATTTTTACCCTTTGATTTAATTTTTTTAAAATTAGTTTAAAAAAAAGTGTTTATGTATAAAACTAAATTAATAAGATTAAAAAAATAAAAACTAAAATTTTATTATAATTTGAGTTTTAACGCTTGTTAATTTATGCATAATTTAATATATATATATATATATATATATTTTACAAAATATGATATTATATAAAATTAGTAAGTTTATAAAAGCTTAAAGTAAAAATTGATGAACTTGTCACGTTATATCCATTTTTATCATAAACTTTTAATTTCATCAAAAAATAAAAATAAAAATGGACTATTTTTAGTAAATAATAAATTAGCTTCAATCCTAATTTTCCAATTCACAAAAACATCCAGATATGAATTCTCAAAACAAACATCCACAGATATGAATTCTGGAAACTTGCTTTCTCTCACTGAATACAACGGAGGAATTCATACATTATGAAACTCGAACTCATACTTCGTCCTCGTGAAGAAGCAAATTGGGGATACCTTTATTGACGGGGAATCGGCGGCCTGTCTCCGGGCAAATAAGAGCGCCTTCCTCGAGATGTAGCTCCAAAAGCGCATGGTGGAATCGTTGCAAAAAGTCATGGGAATCGAGCATCAATGACTCTGCCTCCTCGGGAAGTTCGGCATAGCCCATAGTGCGAGAGGCATCGACAAGAGGCTTCCATTCGATTTTGGAGAACATGTTCTTGAGGAAGTCCGGGTTGAAGTCGACCTGCTTCTCGACAACTTTCTCAACCTCGACTCGGAGAGGGAAGCCATTGACAACGCCCTTGATGTTGGAGGAGAGCATGTTGTGTGTAAGTAGCCTCATCTTTTTCAGCCCTTTCGCTTTCTTTCTCTGGCTCTCTGTTTATTTGTTATCACAGGGTGCAAGCGCCACTTTTGCAATGATCGTTACCAAATTCAAAATTCCTGTCTAAAAAAGAGTGTTAACACACAATCTAATCATTTATGAGAGCATTTATTCCATGAAAAGTCTATTCGATATCTATAAATCAAACAAATTATCTCAAAACCTGTTTTGACTAACATGTATCTAATGAATCAGTCAAATTTCAACTCGATGGAATATCTCCTTAATATAATCTACAACTACAACCCCGAGCGGGCAGTCAAACAGAGGCGTGAATGCAAGATGCCAGCGGAATGATCGGCCAGACAGAGGCTAGGGCTGCTTTCTTCCCACTGTGTCCTTCCTTGTGTGTCGGAGATATAAAGCGAGTGCACCGAAAAAGCGGGAACTGGGTTGATCTATTCTATGGCAAAGCATCCGAAGCATAACTGGCACACACACACGATTTTGACAAGAGATAGGAGCATTCGGTGGAACCAGTGAACTAGCATTAATATATGGATTATAAGAACCGGTGAACTACATCTTTGAAAGTTATGTATCACAGAAACTCATTGATTTTGGTTCTTATGCTATCTTTTTATTCATATTGTTATGCATCTCTGGTAATATACTAATCTCATCCTCCCCTCCTCTGCTATCTGTTCCCCATTCCAGTAAAACGGCTCTGATGGATTGCTGCCTTTTGGCTTATTTACACTAAAGGACACCAAATTTCCATTCAACATCTCCAAACTCATGAAATACAATCAAACTAAACACCACACCATCCATCGCAGTCTCTCGAATCCACACCCCAGGAAAATCGAAACTAGGTTTTGCCTAAAAAAAAAACACAAAATGCACAGAAAACCAGCCCTTGCACCTACTCGAAATCAAATTCAAATCCAAAAAAAATCCAAAACGGAAAGAGTACAAATCACCAATCCAACAAATAAGAGACAAAAGAGAACGCATACATTCAACATACGTACAATCCAACGAAAAAAAATCGAAAATCAAAGAAAACGGTGGATCTAGAAAAGAACTCAGAGCTCTTATCAGAGGAGATCGAAGCGATCGAATGGTACCAGATGATAGGAACTGCTTATGGTATTCTGATTGCGGCCGCCACCATCTAGCGGTGGAAACTCGTCTGAATTTGCGCTTCGCGAACTGGGAGGGTTTAGGGTTCAATATTGGGATAGTAAGCTTCACTTGAAGCAGCCTGTTGGGAGAGAGAGAGTAGCGTTCGCGGCAGGATTTATTTAATATGAAAATATATGAAAAAATAGTTTTTTTTTAATTAAAAAAAAATTAAAACCATTTTTATTTAGGTGCATTCATTTTCCAATATTTATATAACACAAAATTAATTATAATAAAAAAAATAAAAACTATTTTTTTATTATAAAAATTATTAATTTATACATTCTTTTTTTTCAAAATACGATATTATATAAAATTAGTAAGTTTATAATGATTTTTGTATTTTTTTTTTTACAAACGGGTGAAATGTAATAATTAAACCTATAACTCGTAAATTTATAAATAAAAATTAAAATGTCAACGAATTTTTAAACGAGAATATATCATATGATAAAAATTACGATATTTTTTTAAGATTAAGGTTAAGATTATAACACTTATCTAAGTTTGATGCATGATAAAAATGAAAGTTTAAGTTTGCTATGTTATATTCATTTTTAACCTAAACTTTTAATTTCATCCCGACCCTTAAATTAAAAAATTAAAAAATTAAAAAATTAAATTATTTAAATACTTTTTATTCCAATAAAACACAATATTCCTAATAGGTCAAAGAAACCGCCAAGCTGAAACAGAAATAATGGGAGTCTCCTTCCAACCAACAATCAAACATTTCTGATTCTTTTCCAAACTGCAAAACTTCCCATAAGCAAACCCCTTAGCTACAAACTTTGCTTGGCTCAAACATGAATCACTCAGCTCCATTTCTTCCATTCTAAACCTTCCAAAGAACTCCCTCCACACCTCTATCTTCACACTCCTCACGACCCGATCGCTCCCTTCCGATGCAACGACGTTTTCAATCCTTTCGCCACATAACCCTTCGATCTTCCTTCTGCTGTCTTCATCCTCTTCGATGCAAGTTTTCAAGCAGTCGAAGTATGAAGCAGTAAAGAACAATGATTCGATGAAGCGATTCACGAATGATGATAGGTTATAATTTGCCTCGATCTCGGAAACGACCATTATCGATGGGTTTAGCTTTCGGATTACTCTCATCAGATTCTCCAAGCTAGCAGGCCTTGTGATCATGGTTCTCAACACTAAGGGCGAGTAGATTGCTACCATTTCGTGTTCTTCGGTTTTGAAGTGTTCTTCTTTTAGCTCCATCATATCTGATACCAAGATTGCTTTGAATGAAAAGGGTATGTTTAGGGACTCAGCAACGTTTTCCAACCACTTTCCTACCTGTTCTATCAAGTGGCCTTTGTCTGATACAACAGCAGTGATCTTGAGAAGATTAATGGGTAGCTCATCCTTCAAATCTTCAAGTGATTTCATAAAAGCCGACCAATGAACTCCACTCCTGATTTCGAGATCTATCAAATGGACTTTGGTGATCAGTTTAACATGTTCAAAGATTGCTTGAACAGCAGTCAGATGCATCACTTGCTGAAAAGGGAGTTTCATGCATCCTCTAAGTGCTTCAAGGCTCATTACCTCATCTACTTTTGGCTCCTTGATCGTTTCCCTTCCTGTTTCTCTGTTGATTCTTTTCCTAAGGGCCCTTGCGAAGTAAAAAACGAGGCGCTGGACGGTATTACCAGAGGGGGAGGCAGCCCATTCGCAGCGTTGGAGCAGCCTGCTCGCTCGCTCATATTGCTGGTAGCTTACTTTCTCAGCTGCAGCAAAGAGGACATGGGCAAGCTCAACGTCGTTTCGCTCGTCCACCGATAGACCGGTGAGAGCGAAATCACAAGGATGCATTGGCATGTAGAACTCATCATGCCCCTCAGGAAAGAAATGGACATATCTTGCTCCAGCCACCCTCAATATCTCTTCAGTTGACAAGCTTTTGTTCTCCTCACTGGCTTCACCGCCTCTTTTCTCAAGATCTGTCCCCTTCATCCTCTTGACTTTGGCGCCATAGCTGTTTAGCAGCTGCAAAGATTCTAAACATGGATTCAAAACTTGTTTACTGATAGAATCTGCATTCAGATTATCTGATATCTTTGACTTCTCTTGAATCAATTCCGAAAGCGTAAAATCGTTACCGATACCGAACAGAATTTCGTTAAGAATCAAACAATCTGAGTTGGGCTGTGGATATTCTGTCTCATTTCCAATCTTGAGAATGTCCTGTTGGTAAAACCCAGATTGATCAGGTGAGACAAAGTTGAAGTCTCCCAACTCTCCAAATGGACAATCGTCTTCTTTCCCTCTGAGCTCAGTCTCCTGGTTCTGGTGGATGCCATTAGAGGGGAAGAAAGTTCCTGCAAGTGAGCCATTGAAATCAAATGGTGTGAAGGGAAAAAAATCATCAGCCATTAAAGAGCAGAAGGAAGCTGATGAATGAACCTATGAACAGATTTTTCTAAACAAAACAGTCAAAATTCTGATTTAAACCAAGCTGATGAACAAACCTAAGCTCAATGTCACTGCAGAGATTTCTGTAAACAAATCAGCCAAAAATTATCCCTACGGATTATTTTACTATATTCGATATTCCCAAACAAGTGTTAAGGAAAAGATCAAGAATCAAAGTTTATAAACTACTAAACAAGCCTCTCTGATTGTCATTTTCTAACAAGACAACCAAAAAATGTTGAAATTTAAGCCACCAAAACAAACAAAGAACAGAGGTCGATTTGTAGTCTCTTTCCCTTTTTCAGTATGGTTACAAATAATAGAGATACAATAATACTATGATCTTTGTGTATCGAAAATCACGATCACCATTTTCGATAGTTGCAGAGAAATTTCAGACGGGAAGGAAAAATTGGAATTCAGTTGACTGTAATGATCTAATCAAATCCATGGAATATTCGAAAATTTTGGACAAATTTATCTTTCTTTGATTTGAATGGAGAGATTTACCAAGAACAGGAAAATTCAAACGACTTCGATCCGTTTGGATTGGGAAGAACTTTTATCCTTCCTGTCGCGAAGCAAGAACTTCAGAAACGAAGCAAAGCTTCTCAAAATCTTGATGAGACCGATCGCGACGATGAGGTAATAGAGAGCCAAACCAGAGAATTCCGCCATAGTTGGATCCATAAGAAGCTCCATCATGCTTTCCGTAACCATCGCCAGAGATTCAGCTTCATCTCTCAACCTCCACCACCATATACCTCCGAAGCTCACTGCCATGGCGACTCTTTCACTCCAACTCTCCATCACCGGCGCTCCGAAAACAGTATCGTCAACCACCGGCTTCACCGCCGCCTTCGACCAATGAATCATCGCCGTATGAAACCCTAGGAAAAACATCATCCGGTACCACAAACTTCTACGCTGCCCTAAGCTCGAGGCATCGTTTGCAATCGCCATTCCCTGGTCGATCCCCAGGGCCATACCGACATGTAACGCACACAGAACAAGCCAAGCCGCGCTCAGGCCGGATGATTTAGTCAGAACAACGGATTTACCGAACAAGTTATCGAGAAGAGCGGCTATGGCAATAAGCGAAATGAGAGCTAAAAGAAGAACTCGGTCGACAGAGACGACGGAAGAAAAAGAAGCAAGAGGCGTTGAATGAGGGAGAAGAACCTGAAGATACCGATAACGAACGAGCCTGCAAAACACAATGAATGAAAATGGAAGCGAGAGACTGAGGAGAGTGACTGTGAGGAGATGAAAAAGCTTCTTGAACTGAAAATTGAGATCTCGCAGCCATTGGAACGCCATAGCCAAGCTCTGAATTTGCAGAAGGAAATGGGGAATTTGAGAATGTAAATAAGGAGAAGGAAGAAGATGAACGCTGAGTGGCGGGCACGTCCATAGTTTCGAATTGGTTGGCAATGGCAATGTGCGTTATGTTCATATTATTATTTTATTTTATTATATCTTTTAATAATTTATTTGTTGAGATTTTAATTCCCATTTTAATCTAATTAATTTGCATTTAATTCACTATGATAAATAAAATGAATTTAGTCCCTATTAAGATTTAAAAAGAAAATACTTTAAATTAATTCTTTCTCTATTTTAATTCCTATTACAAATTAGAAATGGATTTCGTGATTATTTTGGAGCAGTCCACCGAATGTACTTTAGATGACTTGATTACAGACGACGAGAGAGGTTGCCCGAAAATGAGGTGAAAGAGTATCTTAAAATGATCGCGAGAGGGCTTTGTAGTATTCATGAACGAGGATTTGTACACGGCGATCTCAAGCCAGCTAATATTGTAGTATTCCTCTAGTCCCTAACATGAAAAACATCGAGACATAGATACTATTTGTAACAGCTCAAGCTCACCGTTAGTAGATATTGCCCGCTTTGGCCTGTTACATATCGTCGTCAGCCTCACAACTTTAAATCGCGTCTACTAGGGAGAGATTTCCACACTTTTACAAAAAATACTCCGCTCCCCTCTCCAACCGATGTGGGATCTCACAATCACTCTCGTTAGGGGCCCAACATTCTCGTTGGCACACCGCCCGGTGTCTGGCTCTGATACCATTTGTAACAGTCCAAGCCCACCGTTAGCAGATATTGTCCGTTTGACTCGTTACGTATCGTCGTCAGCTTCACAATTTTAAAACTTGTCTGCTAAGGAGAGATTTCCGCACCTTTACAAGGAATGTTTCGTTCCCCTTTCCAATCAATGTGGGATCTCACAATCCACCGCCTTGGAGGCCTAACGTCCTCGCTAACACACTACCCAGTGTCTGTCTCTGATACTATTTGTAACAGTCCAAGCTCACCACTAGCAGAAATTATCCATTTGACCCGTTACGTATCATCGTCAGCTTCACGATTGTAAAACACGTCTACTAAGGAGAGATTTCCACACCTTTACAATGAATGTTTCGTTCCCCTTTTCAACCGATGTGGGATCTCACAATCCACCCCCTTGAAGGCCCAACGTCCTCGCTAACACACCACCCGATGTCTAGCTCTGATACCATTTGTAACAATCCAAGCCCATCGTTAGCAGATATTTT